CTACTACTACTACTACTACTACTACTACTACTACTACTACTACTACTACTACTACTACTACTACTACTACTACTACTACTACTACTACTACTACTACTACTACTACTACTACTACTACTACTACTACTACTACTACTACTACTACTACTACTACTACTACTACTACTACTACTACTACTACTACTACTACTACTACTACTACTACTACTACTACTACTACTACTACTACTACTACTACTACTACTACTACTACTACTACTACTACTACTACATCGGCCACACTTACAACAGCAGTTGCAGTAGCTGCCACAAGTGCACCATACCGTCGCTCAGCCTGGGCTGCTGAACGATCAGTTCCCGCATTATACCCAGCAACAACAGGAACAGCAACAGCACAACCACCAGCAGATCCAGCAACAGCAGCACTCGGCATCGTGGCAGCTTGCGCTGCCCCATGCACGAGGTGCCAAGAACAGACGCAGTCGGAGACAACGTCGCCAACAGCACAGACGCAACACGCAGAGCACATCAACGTCGTCCGCCTCCATGCCCTGGAATGCGCAGTGTGGTCCCACCACTCCGGTCCCTGAAGCGGAGAGCTGGCGCATCCCGTCTGGCGCATCCCGTCACGCGGTTCTCGTAGCACGTGGAAGATACACTCATGTGTGTGTGTGTGTGTGTGTGTGTGTGTGTCTGTGCGTGTGCGTGTGTGTGTCTGTGTCTGCGCGTGTCACATGTGCGACCGCTACTGCAGCTGCTGGACTGTCGTTCTGTGTCTTGTACCGTTGAAGATGAAGGCATGCCAAGTTGACGAGCAACCTTTGCTTGCGTGTACCCTGCAAATACAACGCCAACAAGGGCGCGATGTGCGCTCTTGTTGGCGTATGCCTTTTCTTTCTTCTTCTTTTTTTTTTTTCTGTGTTTTGTTTGCGCCATTGCACGACGAGTAAACAGCGAGATGCAACGGGGAGAAGGTGTTGACATCGTGCACAGAAGCTTGTCTGAGCGATCTGCAAAACCTTGGATGCTCTGATCAAGCGAAATAATGTTCAACCAGAAATGCCATGTGTATTCCAATGAGTTTAACAAGGCATTCTGACAAGAACATGAACATACAAAATCACGTTTTGGGCTTTCCTGTTGGTTCTAGCACACCAAACAACGTCATCTTCTTTGTGCTCATGAACGTGACAAGCACCGCTGCTATGGTCAACGCCATGGAGAAAGCCCAGGATGGGGCGTGCGCTGCGCACCACGCTTCATATGGGGTGGCAGACACACCTTCAAAGATGAGCCTGTTACACAGCAATGCTTCGCTCAAAGCGAGTCAAATTGGCAACATTCGATAGCCCGTTGAGCGGGGCTATCGGATGCATGCCTTTTGACGCCATGATCCTCAACACAACGGCAGATATGAGAGTAGTAAGACCCATCACCGTCATAAGCAGTCTTCCGGGCAATCAAATTATGTAGCATTGAGCGTTTGCGCGTGGTCTTTGGGGTAATCTTTGAGAGGGCGAGAAAAGTTTTCCCTTTCCGTTTTGGGGTGGTTGCCCAGCGAGCATTGCACACGTTGGTCGCCCTTAGGCACTTTCCCGTTTTGGGCCCCCGTTTTGGGGGACCTCGCAGTCACGCAGTTTCCCACAGGCTGAATGCGAATGCGTGGTGCGCGCGGTTTGTCATTTTCTTCAACCATGCAGCCGCAGAACACGCTCTTGATCAGCAGATTGCACTCCCTCGAAGCACACAGGAAGAGCAATAACAAGGAAGCCTGCAGTGCGCTCCAGCATCAGCACCTTCAAACGACGACACCCCTACAAGGGATCAAGCCCTCACGAGACAAAGAGATCATGGCAACCTCAATTTCTGAGGAAGACAAGGTGTGGGGCGTATGAGCGAGCTGGTGTGCGAGCGACAACAAGCAGTCAGGTGTTCTCTGATGGTTGGCACTGCTTTGGACTATTTTCTTCTTGCCCGCCCTCGTTCCATTGCTGCATTGCTGTTGGCCAGTGTCGTTCCCCCTCGACCTTCGCGCCGCTCCCTCTCGCATCCTCACCCTAATCACTTGTGTTGTGTTTGCTTTCCCGGATTTCCGGTTTGCGGGTCGGTCTCCACCCGTTTTGCGATGGCGCTGGCGCCACAGAACACCCCCATGTGGGCGGTGTCTCTTGCATTCGAATTTACCCCAGACGCTGTCGCCTGGTTGATCGATCAAATCAAGCGTTCCCCAGCCGTGCACTCGACCTTCTTCAGCAAAGTCAGCAACCCCAACAAACCAAACAAACAGGTGGACAGCCTCGCCATCATTACGGTCGCCAAGCTGCTGGGCAAGGTGGGGAGTCAGAATCATGGTGTCCCAAACTTTCCTCTGCCAT